CTGCAGCACCATGGCAACTGCAATCCAAATGGAGGCTAAGATGGCACCTTGGCTGTAAGGGATAGGAGGTTGTAGCACTTATAGCACTTCTCTGGTGTGATTTAAATGCGGAAGGCACACATTCAAATGAATGAGCTGTCCTACTTGAAGGCATGTAAAAACGCACTGCAACGCACCTGTGATATTGCATTGCTGCCGCACATTAAAAATCACCACAACACATTGACAATGCATGCATGGTTATGTGTGTTAGCGTGCATTTTCATGTGTGTTGTGTAGGAATGCAACGACACCTGTTTTTGGGTCTCAAGTACGAGTGCAGATACTGACTCGCCGCCCAGCTTCCTGATTAGCCAGAATGCTGGGCGGCAGGTAATGACTCGCCATCCGGCTTCCCGATTAGCCAGGAATCCAACGAGGAAGCATGGAGCCGGCTTTCTGGTCAATCAGGAAGCAGGTAATGATTGCCATATCGGCTTCCTGATTGGCCAGGAAGCTGGCTCCATGCTCCCTCGTCACCAGAGGCTTCCGGCCAATCAGGAAGCCAGAGTCATTACCCACTGCCCTAGTTTCTGATTGGCTGGGAAGCCAGCTTCATGCTCCCATGTGACGAAGGAGCATGGAGCCGGCTTCCCAGGCAATCAGGAAGCCGGGCAGAGTGTAATGACTCGCCGCCCCGGCTTCCTGATACCAGAAATTTCCGGTATCGGGATAGGCATCGGGAGCATTTGGGCAAGTACGAGTACTCACCCCAATACTCTGTATCTTAACCCATACCGATATTGGTACAGGTGCATCCCTAGTGTTCTGTTTTTATGCAAACTAGCATGTCCTTTAAAGTCACCCCCCTTCAAGCATTTTTCAGTCCTATTTCCTGGAAGGGTCAAAATAACATTTTTAATTACAATTTTTCCTTTAGTTGCCCTGCATTGCTTTTTCATGCGTTTGCGTGTGTTTTGTTAAAATGCATATGCTGAATTTTAGGCTAGATTCACTCGAACCGCACGCTAAAATGCTCCGTTTTAGCATGCAGCAGGTGTTCCCTGGGTGTAGAGGTGCCCTGTGTAATGACACAAGGCCTTGCTTACTTTTTTTAACTTAATTGGTAGTGTACACTCCATTCAGAGGTCTCCGCACAGCAGTGGCCCCTGGAACCATCCAGTGTGCTGTGGAAAAATGCAACATGTCACAGGGCACACAAAAACAAAACAATTGTGCTCTGTGCAGTGACAGGCATTGATCCAGCGCAGAGAAACACCAGTCAACGCAATTGGTGTGACTGAGTCCTTAGTACAACTCACTGTAAGGCACATCTCCACAGCACTGAGGTGTGAACGAGGAACATAGAAAACTAGTGTTGTCCTTGCAGTAACCTGTGTGCAAGAGGTGCAGAACAACGCAGGTGACTGCACATGGTGTGAATGAGCCCTTATGGTTAGAAATAGTGTTTAAAAGCAAATTCAAAATTGAAATGATCCCCAACTACTTCTAATTTTACAGTGGTCTTCCATAACCCCTCAGCGGCAGCAGTGAGGCTCTGACCATACTGAGCCCTGTATAATACTGACTGTGTAGCAGTACCAGAGTTCACCAGCAGGTGATGCTACAGCACCATTTGCTTCCACCCAGACCTGAAATATCACTTTTGAGAAGAGCTGACATTGGATAGTGACAGTGCCAACAAGTACAACGAGAGAACTGACTTTGTAGTGGAAAGCAGTATAAAAAAAATGTACATGGGGACATCATGGACATCAACATGGAACATCAAATCATTTTCTTAAAGCTGACTTAACAGTCCGCAGCAACCAGGGGCTATTTAGTTGTTTGCACCCCGAAACACTCCTGTCCTTAATTGCTAGTATTGTTTCCTTTTTTGGGCCCCCCCCCAAAAAAGGAAACAATACTAACCCCAGCCCAGGCTAACCTCGGCTTCCGCTCACTTTGCCAAGGCAAAAATGGTGTCACTCAGCGATCCCTCCAGAAAGCTGAATGATACCATCATCACCTAGGCAAAGCAGCTAACGGATGGAGTCCAATTCCTTTTATTTTTGCCCCAACAATGAAGAATAGGGGAGAGGGGGCGGGGGTACTATATAGCCCTTAGTTGCTGTGGACTGGAATGTCTGCTTTGTTTTTGGGATACAAGCCCCTCCCATTCTATAGCAGAAATGTTTGGTCCTGAAAGCTTGCAATTCAAATAAATGTCATTAACAATTACAATCCAAGTCGGTTTGAGAACTGGCAGTTCAGCCACTAGGGATGATTCACCAAATGGCTTCCTATATCTCTTGCTGACCCCAGTGGTTAGATCTTTATGGTGGAGGTAAGACGTAAAGCAGAACTCTGGGTAAACTTTGTATTAACCCTTGCAATGGGACTACCATCACGCTGTAAGGGTTGGCTGCGGGTGGCGCTGATAACAAACTGATAGTAGAAATGTGTCACCAGCACTATACACTGTGTAGGACGCCGAGTGACATTCCATCACTTCAGTAGAGGAGACAGGCTGGAGGGAGTGCTGTCACAGCCGGCCAGCTCAGAGGATCAGGTGAGTAAAACTTTGTTATTTTGGACCCTAGGCGACAACGAGCACTTAAACCTTGCAGTGTGTGGGGGGGGGGGGGGGGGGGGGGGGCCCTACTGCAAGGGTTAATAAAAATGTTAGCCAGAGTTGTTCTTTCATATCACTGGCATTAAATCAAATCATACAGCTAAGACTAATCTTGCACATGTCATTTAGTATTGTTGACCATCGCCAGTCATACATCGGGTTGTAGAATCTTGACATCATTTTGTCCATAAATGGGAGCAAATGTATCTGTCACACAAAACTGTAACGGCAGCCACTAGGAATGGGGCTCAGAGGCCTTCCATTGCTGCAGACTTCCAATACAATCCCCCCCAGGCATAGCCAATGTGCACAGCCTTCCTCTATACATTCACGAACGTGTCATCACACCAAGTGAGGTGACATCACAACGGTATTGGGAATTATTCCAGCATCCCTGTCCATGAGATGGCACTAAAATGTGTTGCAACTCTTAATAAAACTGATATTGATTTTCAACATTCTACACAGCTGGTTGGTTTGTGTGAACTGCAACACACACAGTTTAGATGCAGCAGCCTATTAAAGGGCCAGTCCATCCCAAGTCTGCCCAAGGTGTCTTATATTCTGCAACATATAAGGGGGAATTTATCAAAACTGGAGCAGACAAAAATCTGGAGCAGCTGTGCATGGCAACCAATCAGCTTCTCTCTTTCATTTTCAAATCTTAACTGAACAAACTGAACAGAAAAGCTGATTGGTTGTCATAGGCAACTGCTGCAGATTTGATAAATTCCCCTCGTACAGTGTAGATGCAGCAGCCTATTAAAGGGCCAGTCCGCCCCAAGTCAGGCTATGCTGTTTTATATACTGCAACAGCAAAGTTGGCCATACACTTGGCGTTTTTTCTTTGTTCAGACCCAACAAAAAGCACTCGATTCCCCCATCCACACTAGACAGCTTGTATGGAGGGAATCTCCCTTGCCAGGCTATTCTATTCAGACAGACAGCATCCACAACTGTTAGAATACCAGAAGAGTGACTATAGATGATTGACTTCAGTCACTGTTCGGCTGACAATTTTCAGCCCTTCTACAACAGCAGGTCCACACACAACTTGAATCTCAGCTGAGACACCAACAGGGTTATTCACAAAAGGGAGAAGAGTTTGGAGAAGGCCGGAGAAGTGAACGATCTAGGACAATGGTGGCGAACCTTGGCACTCCAGCTTTGCCAAAACTACATATCCCAACATGCATCTGCCTCTGGGAGTTATGTCTGTAGCTGTCAGAGCCTTGCAATGCCTCATGGGACTTGTAGTTCCAAAACAGCTGTTCACTGATCTAGGACAACATAGCTGAACTGGAAAGTGAGCTGGATTGGAGAATGTTTCCACTTCAGCTATGCTGTCCTAGATCGTTCACTTCTCCTGCCTTCTCCAAACTCTTCACCCTTTTGTTGTGAATAAGCCTGCTTTACCAGGCCAAATTCGAGCAGTACGACCAGTTCCCTGTTCTGTGGAGTTTTTGGTGTTCCCGCCCACCTTTGCTGGCTCTAGTACCTCCTGATGCATTCTACATAACATAACATAAACCAAAAAACCCAACAGGGAGAGGGGGACCCCTCTCAATGACACAGTAGGAGTGCAGAACTAGGAACACAAGCACAGATATCTCCTCAATAGAATCCCCAAGAGTTATAACAAATTGCAAGATGGACTAACAATACAGCATCTACTGAGCTATAAAATGTCAGTTTTGGCTGAACAGACTCTTTACACTAGAAAAAACCCAACAGAGCTCGGTTTGGCAATATATAACTTGGATGGCTCAAAGACAGGCATTAGGGATGCACCAATACTAGTATCGGTACCAAGTAGTTGGGCCAGTACTCGCCCAAATGCTCCGATGCCTAGGCTGATACTTCCGGCATCAGGAAGCCAGGCAGCGAGTCATTACACGCTGCCCGGCTTCCTGATTGGCCGGGAAGCCGGGTCTATGCTCCCTCATCACTTGTGACAAGGGAGCATGGAGCCGGCTTCCCGGCCAATCAGGAAGCCAGGCGCTGGGCCATTACACAGCGCCTGGCTTCCTGATTGGCCAGAAAGCCAGCTCCATGCTTTCTCATCACCCAGTGATGAGGAAGCATGGAGGCGGCTTCTCTGCTAATCAGGAAGCCAGGCGCCGAGTCATTACACGCCGCCTGGCTTCCTTAATAGGACTTCCAGTATCGGCGAGTACTGCAAAGAAAATATCGGTTCTCGATACCGAAAAACCGGTATCGGTGCATCCCTATTAGGCATGTCAGATTTTCTTGCCTAATGTGACCAAATACATAAGGACTTCTTAGAAGAGGCTCTGTGAACACACACTCAATAATACGCACAGCAGTGACCCTACATTGTTTGGCTGCTACTCAGCAGGACATTCCTGGCTGATATATGAAATGATTAGTCTGTGAACCTCTGGAGTAGGTTATCTCTGTGTAAATTTGTTCCCTCTCTGAAGCGCTCACAGCCAGGGAACTCTATGAGGTCGGTTTCTCCCAGAGCACACACTGCAGTCCGGGGCCGGTGTGACTGGAAACCGGAAAAATCAGTGGACACGCCAGTTCCCACAGACCGGTAGGGGCGGCGTGTGGAATACATCTGGCGGACATGAACTGGCGCCCTCTTCCGGCACCATTTCTTGCGTGCCACTCTAGAACCCCAAGCAACCAACCCCAGCAGTAGCAGCAATGCGTTGAGGCCAAGCAGTACTAAGGCTAGCAACTGGTAGTTTAGCAAAGGATGCTCCTCTTCTGCAGGTAACGTCACAAGCCCCGCACAATGCTCCCTAGGAGCCACAGGACAAGCTCTGCCACCAATAAGGCTCTCCACACACACTAAATACGGAGTATCTCCCGTCAGCTCCTGTAATGATAAAGATTCTGCGTGACCTCTTGGGTAGACAAAGCGTTGGAAACGTCCACCTTGGCCAAATCGCTCATAGAGGAGCCTGAACAATACAGGCCCATGGGTATGTGGTACCGTCTGCCATCGCACCCGGGCTGTAGTGCTTCCTACGTACTCCACAGATAAGTTAAGTAAATACAACTTGTTAAATTCACATGGATCAGACAGGATGGAGGGAAAAGGTGCAACTTGATGCAAGGTTTCACTTTGCCCAGGGTGGGTGGAGTGGAAAGATGGCTGCAATGTGTCAGGATGACTCTGGTGGAAGGTTTCTACATCTGGGATATCCTTCGGCAATTTTTTTGATTTCAGGTGTGAATCGCCGGTATTTGGCATCTCAGATGTTGTCCGCAACGTGCCAGTTACATCAGAGCGCTCAGAACTCGAAGGATGATTTAGAGAGTCAGGGGGCTGCTGATGTAACAATTCAACATCTGGGAGACTATGATGTAAATTGTTGGATGCTGAGATTGGAGCCTCAGATTGCTTGAAAGGCAGCTGTTTAAATGTCTCACTTGCTGGCTGGAATGTAGCAGGGTGTTGCTTTTCAGTCTCTGGGTACTGCTGGCTAGGGTTCAGCAACTTAAACTTCGATTCTGGTGGTTTTCGAGTTCCTCCAGAAGTCTTCGTGTCTCTGCTTTTGCCTTTTTGTGCTATTTTTTTACGCTTATCTGCGTTGCCCCTTTTGGTGCCTGCTGGCACTTTTGTCGTTGGAACTGGTTCTACAGTTGCCAATGTTTGAGGCAAAGTGAGTGCTTTTGGTGACTGTGTAGAGACAGGCAGTACTGAACTTGCTTTTGAATCCAGATGATCAGAATTTCCTTCACTTTTCTGTCCTTCGGGTGTATGATCCAAAAGCAGATGTTCATCTGGTAACGTGCTGGACATGCCTTTAGGGGTTGTGGTATAAACACAGTCTCCAGTTGCCTGTAAATAAGCATCTTCAAGATAGTCCAAATACTTTCCTGCGACTTCCTGGGGCTCTCTGCACTTTACAAACACCGTCAGCATCCGTATCCGTGTGTGCAGGGTTCCCAAAATCCAGTGTTTAAGCCCCAAGAGATGACAGTTGCAGTTCCATCCATTGCCGTCTAGTTGCAGCTTGTAAAGAGCCGGATTTTCAGCAAGGATGTCCCCAGGTAGGAAACTGAGCATATTATACTGCAGGTCCAGAACCCTCAGCCGACTTAACCCATTGAACGTTCCGGGCTGCAAACTGGAGAGAGAATTATGGCTCATATTTAATACCTCCAAGCTATGCAGTGACGCTAGGAGGCTTTCCGGCAGATGGCTCACTACGTTTCCATCAAGGTGCAGCTCTTGCAAAGACCCCAATCCCTGAAAAGTCTTGCTGTGTAGAAGAGAAATCCTGCTTGAGCTAAGAACCAGCTTGGAAAGCCTCTGCAGCCCGTTAAAAACACCTGGTCCCAGTTGCTGCAGATCATTCCCAGCCATGCTGAGCGTGCTAAGGGAACGCAGCGGTAAAAACGTCGGATGGCGTAAGGAGTTTAAGGGGTTCCCCGACAAGCTCAGTAAACGCAATTTTACAAGCCCCGCAAAGGCGTTTTTACTGATATTTGCAATTCTGTTGTTTTCCAGATGCAGATAAAGCAGATTAGAGAGACCCTGAAAGGGGGAGCCATGCAGTACCTGGATATGATTGCCGTCCAGTCTTAGTTTGATCAGTGACCCCAGGCTGGAGAAACTGGCGCGACTGACATTTTGTAGCCGGTTGCTGTTCACATTCAGCACTTTCAGCTTCTTAAGAGCGGACAGCGCACCAGAGGTAAGCGTCTGAAGCTGATTGTTGCCCAGGTAGAGCTCCTCCAGGTGGGCGAGCTTGTCGAACGCCTTGGGGTGAATGAAGTGGATGCGATTGTACTGCAGATCGAGCCGTTGCAAATTGTAGTAGTTGGAAAAGTCCGCGGCGCTGATATTGGAGATGAAGTTTCCCCCAAGGCTGTAGGTTTTGGTCCCAAAAGGATTCAGAATGTGGCTGGATTTGGGGACGGAGACGAGCCCTCTGTTGGAGCAAAGGACATGCTGGAGATGCTGACAGTCACATGGCTGCGGGCACTTCTCCTCCGCGCTGTAGCAGAGACTGCAAAGCAGCAACAGCAGCAGTAGAGTTGCAGCCTTCTCCATCTCACCTGGAGCAGTGGGCAGATGATCCCAGCTCTGTGCATCCCCTATGTGCATGCAGCCTTAGCAGTCCACTTCTACGACTGATCACCCAGTACATCTCGTTGGCTTCTACATGGCTCGGTCACATGTAGCAGCGATGGGAAATGGGTGCACCTCTACTGATCGCAGAGCACATCACCAGCAGTCTGTGTGCAATGCAGCTCTCCAGTGAAGGGCAGGCAAGCTGTCACATGTGTAGAGGATCAGACAGGGCTGCTGGTTCCCAGGGTCCCCTGTCTTGTGGCTGCACAGCACAGTCAGCACTAGGCAGTGAGCAGATGTTACAGTACATGGTGCAGTCCCTCTCCAGCCACTCTCACATCCATGGCTGCCTCCAGAAAGCCCTCCAAGTCCTTCCCTACAAAAGTTCAGCCGGGGATCCAGCGGCCATATGTCGGGGGGAGCCGTCCACACAAAGCCCAGGCTGACGCTGCTGCTGCTCCTTTTGTTCGGGACTCAGAAAGAAGAGAAGTTCAGTGCGGAAATCCGTTCTTCCCACACTGACTCCCCTGAGATTGTTCGCTTAGAAAGAGGATCCTGGTGAGGCAGCTCCGAGCTGCTGGTGGGAGGAGGAAACATGGAGCACATGTGAGGCGAGAGAGAGAGGACACAGTGCGAGGGAAACAAAGAGCCAAATGATGATGACCTCCTGAGAGGAGGGAGATGTCTCCTCTACAGGGCTGCACTGTCCCCAACATCGCCAGAACTGGAGCCGGCTGAATCTGCACAGCAACCAATCAGCCGCTCTCTTCACATTGTACAGTTACGTTATGAAAATGAAAGCTAGACGCTGATTGGTTGCCATGGACAGCAGCTGCAGTATTAGTAACTTTGCTTCAATGACTGCCATACAGCAACAATGAAACTGGAGAAGACAGACTAATGTGCACAGCAACCAATCAGCTGCTCTCTTTGTACACTAAAGCTTTGAAAATGAAAGCTAGACGCTGATTGGTTGCTATGGACAACTGATCCAGTCTTAGTAACTTTGCTTCAATGTCTTCCATGCAGCAACATTGAAACAAGCAGACAAAATCTAATGTGCACAGCAACCAATCAGCTTCTTTCTTCTGCTTATGTTTTGAAAATCAAAACTAGGACGATGACCGGTTGCCATGGACTATCGCTGCAGTTAGTCATTTTGCCTAAGCAAAGGGAACTTATCAAAACTGGAACAGACAGAATCTAGAGCAGTTACCCATAGCAACCTATCAGATTCACTCTTCAGTTTGTTCAGTTAAGCTGTGAAAATGAAAGAGAGAAGCTGATTGGTCGTCGTGATGGGTTGCCATGGGCAACTGCTCCAGTCTTAGTAAATTCCATACAGCAACACTACAACTGGAGCAAAACTACTTCTGTCCTCTGGCTGAGGGAGAAACGATTCACAACACTTGTACTCTGGTTCAGCCTTCTTGACCCCTTTTTAACTATAGAGAAACCCTTTCCACACCTTGTACACTGCGTTCTGATCTGATCCCCCCGTCTGTTTTTCAGCACAATGTTAGTCTATGGGCGGCGGATGTAAACAGACGTGCGTCCATCTAGGTCTGAGAAGAGCGCCATTTTTGTAGACCTGATCGTGACGGGTCAGAGGTAAAAGGATGTCAATTTTGCTTCCATCAGACTGCCCAGAGACATAACATGGGTCTGCTCGGTTCAGTTTCTTCCTCCATTGCAGAAGTGACATGCGTTGTGTACGGCTCCGATCAGCGGGGCATCTGGGTACGGATCCATCAGAGTAGTCCGGCGCCCGTGTGAAAGGGGCCGTACATAGCTTCCAGGCCACAGGGTCATATGATTATATCTGCAGCGTATGGTACATTAACATGGTCAGGTTTGTCCACCTTTTGATAAAAAATCTGAAATATACACTTTGATGAAAGAAACAATCTGCATAGACGCCTGCAGAGCATTGCATCAGCAATCAGTGGATGGGGGATGCAGTGCACCGGTTACTGCAGACGGTTCCTCAAGCACAAGTATGGGCCTTATTATTAGTAATCATTGGACTACAAGTGGACTAGCTTTGACATCAAATCATAAGGAATGGGGTGTACCCGAGTCTCCTGACCCCGCCTCTAAAATTCATTTCAGTAATGATTATTAAAGAATAAAGCTAGTCATACACTTTACGATTCTTCTCCTTCAGCCCCGCAGGTAAAACTTTCCCCCAGCCATACGCTGGGCGAATTGTATTTCCTATGCTCCTCAGCTCCATCTAGTGGTGTGAATGCTGTGGGAATGATATTCACCCAGAGTATGGCTGGGCAGAAGTCTTATAAACTGGGCAGCACAGTGGTGTAATGGATAGCACTTCTGCTTTGCAGCACTGGGGGGTGCCGGATTCAAATGCTGGCCAGGGCACTATCTGCATGGAGTTTGCATTTCCTCCCTGTGCTTGTGGGGGTTTCCTCCCATGTGCCAAAGGCATGCTGGAAGCAGGGGCGGACTGACCATGCGGCATTCAGGCACTGCCCAACAGCCCCGCAGCCATGAGGGGGCCCTTCCCAGCTTGCATGAAAATAGACGTGGCTGTGTTAAAGCAGTGATGGTAGTGTCGCCTGCCTCCCGGGTCCACCAGGAACTTCGGTGCTGCTTTACACAGCCGCGTCTCCTAGTTTGGCAGTGATGCAGCGGAGAAGAGCCCAGAGGTGGGGGGGGGGGGGGGGGGGTGTGTATAGTGGGAGGGCGGCCCTGCCACTGGTATGGCTGCACAAGGTCCTGAGGCTGTGGGGTCCCAGTGAGATCCAGCCCTGTGCGCCCCACTGGAGGAATGGTGCCCGCATCTGCCCCTGGCGAGACTTCGCAGTTGCCTTTGGTGAGACCTCCTAGCATTAATGGCTAGTTCGCACCAGATGCAGTTGTGATGCAGTCCGCTCAGTTTGGCTGCTGCAGCTAAAATACATCACAATGCTTTCCTATGCTCTAGTCACACCAGTGCAGTCCGGTCTCATGCACTCAGAAAAAATACTGTTTGCCCTATTTTAGCTGCAACGGAACGCATCAGAAATGCATGCAAGCGCACCTGAAATCCCATTTTAAGCAGAAAAGAACTACCCTCCCCCCCCCCCCCCAAAAAAACCACCACAAAAGCGGAAAACACGCATCAATTGCGGTAAAAACGCCCGGCATTGCAGCTGCTTAGATGTGCGCAGTTCTAGTGTGAACTAGCCCTTAGTAAATATATTACAGCTCTATTTCTCTAACATCTGCCTATTCACAAAGATCAAACAGCCAGTTTCAGGGACCCAACAATGTTATCAGATGATAGTTGGTGTTATCACCGTTTTGCTAATGAAATGTAAATTGTATTGCCCCAGAAGTGATAAGGAAATGGAGGACTGGAAGACTCAAGGTCTCAGCTGAGTGACAGAAAATAGGAAAGATAAAAGTAGCCAACTCAGCAAATGGCCGGAGCAAAGGGAGCACAAAGAACAAATAAATAACCTAAAGGTGTCTAATCACTGGGAGATAATCAGTTATGACAGAGACCTTTTCTTTCAGTAAAAGTAATTGGCCAGAGTGTAGGCTGCTGAGATCTGGAAGGTGACAGATGGCCTCTTGGTTACCAAACACCATGAATGGGGGACAGGATTCATACAAAGGCCTCATCTACACATGTATATACACTTCTCATATGACTGCTTCAACTGTCCTACACATAATATCAGGGATCCAAACCTGAAATAAGTCACTTCAGGGAGATGCCCTTCTCATTTCAGGGGGGTGCCCTTCTCATTTCAGGGAGGGACGGATGGGGGGTGCAACAACAAGGAAGAGAGCACCCCCCTGAAAGGGTGGCAGATAGCAAAGAAACTAATGCTTCCTTTTCTATATGCTGTTTTTTTTTTTAGTGTTCTACTTCTGACAGCTGCTGCCATCAGGACAAAATAAAAAAACGGCATAGGAAATAATAGCTAGATTGCTATTGGCTATTTCAATTTGCAATAGCCAATAGCAAGCTGGCTATTGCACCCAACCTCTGCTGCTGTCAGTCAGCAGAGGTGGACCTGATGGAGAACTACAAGTCCACCGCTGCTGATTCACAGCAGCAGTGGGCGGGTGCAAGAGCTAGTCTGCTTTTGGCTATTGCAAATTAAAATAGCCAATAGCAATCTAGCTATTATTTCCTATGCCGTTTTTTTTTTTTTTTTTTTTCTTACTGACGGCAGCCGGCGGCCCCGATGTCAGAAAAAAAAACAGCCAGCACAGAAAGGTTTACTCTGCTGGATCCAGCAGAGTAAACCTTTCCGGGAGAAAATGTTTCTCTCCCTGGTGTCCGGGAGCCGCTATCTACTAGCGAGAGACTCCCGGAACATGCAGTAGAGTTGAGATGTCTGTAATATGGGCATCGCGGGCCCCATTAACACTTGAGCGTGAGCCGTTTCAGGTGATTTTGAAGTGTTTCCTGCATTTTTGAAGAGTTTA